TATATGAATTTTGCATGAATTGGAACTCAAACAATCGAGAAAAATCCGAAACAAAGCTGAAACATTGTAAAAACAGCATCTAAAACCTTCTTTTTACGCATGTAAACAAGCGTAATCATAAACCACTGTCTTGATGCTTGTTTAAGCCCATATATTGATTTATGAAGTCGACAAACTAATTTCTCCCCCTTACGAGGAACCACTCCATAAGACTTATATCAAGGAGATCCATGTAGACTTCCTCAAAAAGATCACCATTGAGAAAGGTATTATTTACATCTAGTTGAATAAGAGGCCAATTTTTGGAAACGACAACGGTAAGAAGAACCTTCATAGTTATTAACTTAGCCACAGGTGAAAAGGTTTCAAGAAAATCCAACCCTTCACGTTGAGTGTAGCCTTTAGCAACCAAACGAGTCTTGTATCTCTCAATAGTTCCATCCTAGCGATGTTTTACTTTGTAGATCTATTTACATCCAATAGAATGATGATTTGGGGGAAGAGGAACCACTTCCCAAGTTTCATTGGCTTCTGTTGCATAAAGTTCAGCTACCATAGCTTTTTTCCAATGGGAATGGCAAACTGCTTAGTGATAGAATTGAGGCTCATCATGAGCAGAGATAGCCACAGATCAAGAGAAATGAGACAGCGACAACCGAGAATAAGATACATATTGATACAAGGGATGTTTAGTAGCTGAATGAGGCAGAAAAACACCATTTAAAAGTGCACAATGGTAATCCTTCAGATAAGAAGGAAGTTGAGAAGGCCTTGTAGAGCGACGGACCACTGAGGCTGTAGCAGGTATAGGCTGAACATCAATCAAAGGCGATTGAGGATCAATAACTACAGTAGGTACCTACCTTCTGATTGAACATCTACAGTGGTATCAACAATAGTAGGTGTATCATCTGATGGAACAGATGCTTCAATACAACACAAACTACCATTTGGTAAAGGCTCAGACAAATTTTGTGGAGAAACAAAAGAAGGATCAACGGTTGATGTATTAAAAGACATAGGTAAAACTATGTTTGGGAATGGATCAACAATAGTGGTATGTGAGGACTCTTCATGAAATGGAAAGATGTCTTCATGAAAATCAACATCTCGAGAGATGAGAAACTTTTTCTATGGGAGATCATAGAGACAATACCCCTTTACACCAACCGGATATCAAACAAAAACAGCTTTAGAGGCTCTTGGATCAAACTTGGTACGACCATAAGTTAAAGTAGAAGCATAACACAGGGTACCAAAGACTCTAAGTAGAGAATAATCAGATGCATGTCCATGTAAAGCTTGATATGGTGTTGACCAAGAGAGAGTTGGAGAGGGGGTACGATTGATTAAAAAGACTGCTGTCAATACACATTCCCCCCAGAAATTAATAGGCACTCTTGACTAAAAATAAAGAGCACAAGCTACATTCAGTATACATCATATTATTGTGGAAAATGGTCAAGCCCATTACTCATCTTGGTTCATCTTATTTAGTGACTAAAAATAGAAAGTTACTTCTTCACAATGTTCTTTTAGTTCCCAACAATTGGTTTCGTGCATGTGTATTTGTAATTTATGAACAAATTATTTATTCAATAAAGAGTTATCTTATTGTTTCTTTGCGTTACTCGTATTCCAAATAACTAAGATCCAAGGTTATTTTAATGTAAATGGAACAATATATATTTGATATACAATATATATTTAATATACACAGTATAAATTTGATATATAGTATATATTTAATATACAGTGTATATTTTTGATATACAGTATATATTTGATACAAGTGGATAATGTTCCAGCAAAAACCTAAATGGTCTATAGTATATGGATAAGGTTGGGTACCTTATATCATGGTAACACTATGGATACGACCTACTTTGTAATAGTTACAAACAACTTTATCCAACTCGTTAATATGAAGACATGCGAGTGGGAGTATCCTATACAATGAGTTTGTATAAGACTGGGCCGCGAAATAATTCATCATTGGCTCTAACACTGTTAGTCAATAGATTGTTATCTCATAGGATGACTAGGTAACTTGATCTTAATCCCGAGTTATGGACTCCTGCCTATAAGGGATCGTCCTTTGATTTGTATGGGTGAGAGTAGCCCGGGCTGTCGACTCAATAATCCTACCATTTTGGGGACGAGACCGAGTGGGGAGCTGGAAACATAACTACGCAAGATTGAATTCACTTCTTCCCGAATTTAGGGAAGTAGATGTGTGTTCCCTTACATGCTGACTACAAGACTTGAACAATGGGCCCCACCTTCTCACTGGTCCGAGAGGGACTTCCGGTTATTGGTTGGACCATAATTGGATTATTCATTAGAGGAGCAGTGATATTTAAGGAGTAAGATATAACTTAGGGGTAAAACGATAATTTGACCTAGCTAGAGTTTTGAGCACTCGTGAATGATTGACTTGCCGTTAATGGTCGTACATCCGTGGACATGAAAATATTATGCAGTGAGAAGAGTGCAGCTGCGGGTCTTTAATGGAGTGACCCGTAGTTAACGAATGTTGATTAACTCGGTTAATGAGTTTGACTTATTAATCTCGTATCGTTGAAGCTTCAGATCTGTAGGTCAATTAGGTCCCCTTGCTAGCTCACAACAGGTAAGACGATGATCAAGATTTTGAGAGAATTTGAAATGTTCAAAATTATATATCAGGGAATGTATATAATATATATTATGATACATTATATATATACTTTATTTTTTAATAAAGATTCAAATTAAACTATATGTTATGAGAGAAATATTTGAATAGGATTCAAATAATTAATATGAATTCGATTCATATTAATACTATTAGTTATATAAGAGAGATGCATTTTAATATGATTCAAATATATAGTTTAAATTAAATATGTGATATTTAATTAAAAGTTAAATAATTAATTGTTAATTAATTAATTATTTAATTAATATTTGGATTTAAATTAATTAATTATTAATTAGATTAATAATTAATAATTTAATTAATTAATTGTTAATTGATTTAATTAATTTGTTTATTATTAATTAAAAAGAGGAAGATATCCTAATCTAATGGTGTTAGGATTTTCCCTGAAAGGGATGGTAAAGAAAAAAAAAAGCTTGAAATCTCTCAAATCTCTTACTCTCTCAATCTTTTGCAATTGGATCTCACAATCCGGATTCTCGACCGAGAGACATAGCAAAGAAGATCAAATGGTGTTGTCTCATTGGAATTACACGAAGAAGATTTCAAAGGTAAAATTCAACGATCTTCCCTGTTTTATATTTTTCTGTATTTTAAATTTCATAAGAAATTCAACAACGCATTCTACTGTTTCCGCTCCAGGAGTCACATCTCCTTCACCAACATGACGAAGAATCTCATTAGCATTTCTCAACTAACAGTAGAAAATTCAGTAATTGTTGAATTTCTTGGTCTGTTTTGTTTGGTTAAGGAATAGAAGACCAAGACAATTGTTGGAAATTTGAGCAAGG